TGAAGAACAAGATGGGGGGGGGGGGGGGGGTGGGGGAAAGGTGATTGCAATAACTTCTATAAAAGCACCACGTTAACAGTTATCTAGGAGCAATCTGATGTAAAAAAATGCACTTCCAGGTGCTCATTCAAATGGAGAAAGACAGGGAGGTGGGGGAAAGAAATTAACTGTACAAGGTAGCTCCTGTCCAAGCTCCCTTCAGCCTGCTCAAGGTTGAACAGACAATTAGTCTATTCTACAGAGCGTCAAAAATATACCCGATCAAACACAACAGCCAGAAGCAGGCCTAGGAGCATGGGTGCGTGTTGAACATAGTAATTGGATGTGACAATCCATGCGAACTAAAAAGCATCTCCTGTCAAATTGCAACTCTTGTGAAATTGCTATGTATTCTAAAACAAAGTGCTCAAAAGATAATAATTTAACTTATTTTAAGAAGTCACAATTGTTCACATGCTGCAGTGTGTAATGCCCCTGGTTGTTCAGCTCTAAGGAGAAAAGAAGGGGGTGTGGGACAGCACACATTTTAAATTGTAAATGGTGTAGCCTAGTTCAACATGAGACAGTAGCTTTTCAAAATCAGCATCCTGTAAAATGTTAGGGCAGTGAAACTGCAGTATTTATGTCTGATTTACATTGACCACTAAAATCAGTCACTAAAATGTTCAAACTTATCAAATGAGGTTTGGTTAAGTGCACAAAGGGCACGTTCACCAAACCCATCCTCCCCATCCTATAGAATATGCGTGTTATATTATCTAACATGTAACGTCAGTGCAGGCAACTGCTGTGACTCCAGGCAGGGCATTTAAAATTAATGATCTGTTACAAAGGTTTCTGGCCTTTTTAATGCATTCTTGCTTACCCCAGAAATGTAATTTAGAGCTGCTTTGTGCACTGGTGCTCATCTAGAATGGCCGCACATTCATGACATCAACCATAAAGTATCTAAAAACTTTTCTTGCAATAAAGAATAATAAGCACAAGCACTTTGATACTTTCAAGCTCCTTGCAGCTCTCAGCCATGCCATCATTTACTTCACAAAGTGAATTACCATTTTGATAATAAATAAAGGGAGGGAAATTGAACACATTCACCAGCTTGTGCTGTGATTAACAACTCATGTCAACAGAGCTGCTGTAGTGTTTTCCTTACAAGGCCAAGAGACCAAAATAAAATCAGATTAACCGCTATTTAATTTGAGTTACGACATGTTTGCTGAACGTTTGTGGAGAAGTTGGGTTATTGACAAACTGTTAAAAGAAAAGCTTAAAATAATTAATCAACCGGGGGCCAAGCAGCTAGTAGTTTTTCCCATGTGCTATGTTTGCAGTTCCGCAAACAGTCAGACAGTTGGCTTTCGATGTGTGATTACGTAAGTTATCAGCAAAGAGCTAATTCATTATTGCTCTAAGAAGTCTTGGCAGCATCCTGATGGGACTGGAAATTGGAAACGTTTGGTGAGCCTAAATGTGTTTGTTGGGGTAATGTGCTGTAAGACCTAAACATGCAGGTGTGAAGTTAGTCTGTACAATATAGGAAAGTCAAAGCTGAAATGAAACGAAGGGGGAAAGGTTTTACGGATTTCCTCCCTTCGTTATTCTACCTTGCTGAGAACTGCAGTCTCAAGGACAGACTAAGACAAGGGCAGTTTCTGCTTTAGAGGCTCCTACTGTATATTCAACAGTGCATCTACACACTAAATGAGATGGACGGAGAGAAATGCTGAAGTCACCTCCTAGAGAAGTGCTGAGCAGTGGTGCTTGATATAAAAAGACCCCCAATGACAATTTGCTCACATTAGCTGCTGCCAGGCTATCAGGCCATATGAGTGTGTGGTGCCAAGTGTGGGAGCAGTATAAAAAGGACATTGGCTCAAAAAGTACCTCAGTGAGCAGATTTTTGCTGAAGACATAAGGCCACTGGACATAAACTCAGCCCATTAGCAGATTATATCTATTGATCATTCATACAAAGTACAAGCACGGGTGAAATCATTTGTTTAGCATGACAACAGCGGCCATTTCAGTTTCTAAAATGTGGCATAAATTCAGCACAATTTGTCATCACACTGCAGTTGCCCTGACACACACACACACACACACACACACACACACACACACACACACACACACACACACACACTCATCCTGTTCAAAGTAAACTTCTCACCTGCTGTGGCGTAATGACTTGAGTGACAAACTCAAGTAATATCCTTCTTGTTGAGGCTCTAATTAAATAAGCCTAATTGAGTCTCAACAGATAAAGGTACCATTCAGTTGTAATCAGTTACCCTGTTTACATTTTTGCTCAGTTAGTGCTACACCAAGGAACTTGTATGTCTGTGCAATCTGACAAGCTGTTTACAAACTATTACAAGACTAATTCAGTTGCAGTTATTGCATGGAATTAATTTGAAAGACAAGGGAACCAGGCAGTAAAATGAAGACCAGCTTGAGTTTGATATGCTCAGATAGACAGCTGTGTTGCTGTTTCTGCTAAGCCTGTGTAGGTGTTACACAGGAGAAACAAAGCATCCCTTTGCTATCACTCTCTCCTGTGTTTGCTCAATGATAAACTGTACACAGAGCACAGTTTTTCAGCAAAGCAATTTGCAGCGAGCTGCCATTGCCAGATATTGATACTCAGTTAAAACTGTACATAGTTATGCTACTTGTTTACTGTTTTACTGGGTTATGGAGATATAAAAAAAGTCATCCTTCATTAGATTGCATTAGAAAGTAACATAAAAGCAACATGAAGTAATGGTCAGTAAAT